AACGGGCCGCCGCCCGCCGCGAAGTCCATCACGATGTACAGCTTGTCCTTGCCGGAGATCACTTTCTTCAGCGAAACGACGTTCGGGTGGTTCAGCACGCGCAGCACGTTGAGCTCGCAGTTGAGCAGCTGCACGTCGACGTCCGTCATGCGCTTGCGGTTGATCAGCTTGATCGCGACCTCTTCGGCGGTTTTGAGGTCCGTCGCGCGGTAGACCACGCTGAATCGGCCGTGCCCGACGAGCTCACCGATCGCGTAGAGCTCCGTGATCGGCACCTGCTGCAAAATGTTCTGCAGCGTGTTGTACCAACTCGCGAAAGTCTCGCGGTCGCTGAAAAGCAGCGTGCGCGTGGTCCGTTTGCTGACCAAGTCGCTGCTCACCAGCTGCAGCCCGAGGTACGCGTCGCTCAGCGCGCCGGCGTCCGCGAGCACCGCGTCCGCGTCCGTCTCCGGGATGCGCTTCACCGTGAGCGCCGCGTCCTTGCTAACTAAACAGCGGTCGACAAAGCAGTTGTTCAAACAAATGAAGCCGGATGGCACCACGGCGTCGTCCTTCAGGTAGTAGTGCAGCAACTTTCGCGTGCAGATGCAGCGGATTGGCAGCGCGCTGTCGGGAGTGAGCAACGCAATCCGGCTGTCGAGCAGCACCGACTCGTGCGCCGCGTGCTTCGCGACGTTGTTGAAGCGCCAGTGGCAGAACCAGCAGTCGCCGAACGGCAGCGCGCCGGTCTCCGCGCAGTCCGCGCACGTGACCGTGATGCCGTCCGAAGAGTCGAGGCTGAGCTTCAGCTCGTTGCTGCTGCAGAGCGGACAGACCAGCAGCGGCATCTTGCAGTTCGGACAGTGCAGGAAGTTCGCGGACGACGAAATCGTCGGACTGGCCTCCTGCAGGTCGAGCAGCTTGTTCGAGGGCAGGTCCACCGGCAAGTACGACTCGCTCTTCTCGCTGGGCAAGTGCTTGGGCGGCGCGGGCTGTTTCAGCAAATTCTCGGAACTCGGCTGCGACGCAGACGAGTTCTGCACTTCTTGCGTAATGCAGATCCCGAAAAAGTCGCGGATGCGCTCCCAGTAGAAGTCTTCCGTAGCAGAGAGCTCTGTGTCGTCGTTCAGCTTGCTGCAGCAGCTGATGCCCTCGTTCAGACTGTCAATCAGCAGCTTCAACACCGACGGCGTTTTCTCGACGAACGACTTCAACTCGATGAACGAGAGCGTGTCGGAGCCCGATGCGTTGTACTCGTTGATGATCTGCGAGACGACGACCTCGGTCTCTTTCTGCTCGAGCACAGCTTCTTCGTCCTTGCGGATCTGCGCAATCAAGTCGTTCACGGTTTGCGAGTTCGAGACCGCGGTGTCGCGCGTGCGGTCGGCCGCGCTCGTCCGCGGTTCGCTCTCTACGTGCGACTCGGAATCCGGCTGTGACCTGCGAGAGTCGACGTTCAGCGAGTCCGCGCTCTGCGGCGCGGCGCCGAATTTGTCGAACGCGCACAGGCCGAAGAACGGGCCGCCGCCTTCCGAGAACGGCGAAGCGTTGCTCGAGCTCTTCGCGGGCTTGCTGCCCACGTGCCCCGTCGGCATCGGGCTGATCAGCATCGGCGACTTCGCCAGCGTGTTGCCTGCGGCCGCACCCACCGACGTGCCAGCTGCGCTGTCGTAGCCCGGCTTCCTGTCCCAGCCGGAAGCTGAGGCGAGCTCGTCCGCGCTCGCGAGCAGCCCGCCGGGAGCTGACGCGTCGACTGCGCCGAACGCAGCGCTCAGCTGCTGCGTCAGCTGCGGCGCGTTCAGCAGCATGCGCGTGAGCTCGTTGCGCGATATTTGCTCGTCGTTGTCGAAGTCGAATAGTTTGAAGAGCACTGCGATCTTCTCGTTCTTGGTCCCGCGGCAGCAGAGCGAGAGTCCGTTGATGAAGTCTTCTTCGTCCAGAAAGTCTTGCCCCTTCGTGTCGAACGTGGTGAACAGCCGGTCGCTCCATAAGATCGGCAAGTTGAAGTACTCGCGGAAACGCAACTTGTCCACGCCGTGCGCGCTGCTGCCCCGGCTGGTCAGCTCGTTGAACAGCTTCCGGATCACCTGCCGCTCGTTCTCGTTGAGCTTATTGCTCGGCCCCGACGCCGACGCTGTGCCCAGCGACTGGTGCGCTGCCGCACCCGTGCCAGGCTTCGCAGCGCTGCCGCCGCTGTACGTTCTGCGTTCTTCGGAAGTGTGCTTGTCAGATAAGAAGCGACTGATGCGGTTTGCCAGCAAGCGAAACCCTTTACGCGACTCTGCGACGTTGGACTTCATGCGACCGAGCCTTTTACAACTGTGCTCGCCACATTCGGTCCCGTGGTTAATTTGTACGTCGAATAATCAAATACTAAAAATTCAAGGGTAGTACTGATCAGAAAACATCACGCGGCGCGCAGTGCGCGCCGTGCCGCACCACGCCTATAGTTTCTCAAACTCCTTGAGCATTCCGGCTTTCCGTCGCAGCGCAGATTCGCTCAGCGTTTTGCGCAGATCGCATCCGTCTGGCGCTTCGTTCAAACAGTCAGCCAGTTTCTGCAGAGATGCCTCGCGGCTGAGCATCTGCACGAACGTTGCCGTGTTTTCGCGATTCGCGCGCAGTTCGACGGCGGACTGCTGTGGCGCGTCCATCTGCAGGCGGAAGTCGCTGACTTCGGCGGACGGCTCGCGCAGTCGCAGTGCCTCAAAGGAGTCCGCGGTCGCGCCGCCAGAAGCACCGGAAAAGGCTGTTGAGTTCGAGTGGCCCAAATGCTTGTCGAACTTTGCAGCCGCGTTCGCGGCGCTTCGCGACGCGGGTACACGTTGCGGACTCGTGCGCGGCTCGCAGCTGCTAAGAATGCCGCGCGCGGCTGCAGACAGCGTCTTAGGTTGCTGCCTGCTGCGGCAGCGCAGAGCAGGCTCGTACGGAGCGTCGAGCTGGCCGGAGTCAAAGCGATAAGACTGCAGACTGTTAACTGAGCGTAAAGAGTCGGCGCCGGACGTCCTGGCGCCCGTAGCATGCGAGCTGAAAACGGCCCCAGAAGCGCAGACATCGCGCTCTGGTGCCACGTAGCACCTCGCTGCAGACTGGCTGGCGCGCGCCATGAAGCGCGGCTCGTACGGGGGAAGCTCGTATGCGGCAGCTGCAGTGCTGTCGACAACCTTATACCTCGCGTTCCGCGCCGCTGAAGACGCGCCGCCAGATCTGCCGGCACTCGGCGCCCATGCGTAGCTGTCGGCGCGATGTGCTGGATGCAGCTCTAAAGGCGTGCTGCCAGAGTCCGGCGGCGAAGGCGCTCTTGCGGCAGCGCGTGAAGCTGCTACTTTCGAAGACGCAAGCAGTGCTTCTCCTGTAGTTTGCAGGACGAGGTTGTTCAGCGGCACTTCGCACGCGCGACGCTCGGCAAATGGTGTGCGCTGAACTTTTTGTATTGCGCTCAGCTCGACACTGCTGACCCCGGCTTGTTGCTGCGCATTCGGTGCCGCCGAGTCCGATTCCGCAAGTGTTAAAGGCCGCTGCGCAGATTCATCGGTTTGCTGAAGCGCAATGAGCAGCGATGGCTTGGAATTCGCAATAGCCTTCGGCGAGGCACTGTGTGGGACGTGTGTGACATCCGCGACCGCAGCTTCCGGTCTCGTAGAAGGCGCTTTTCGCGTATCGGCCGGCTGCTCACCTGCATCGCTTTTAGTATAAGATTCGATTTCACGCTCATCTGCTGATTCCTTGCCAGTACCAGCGCTGTTAAAAGGATTCGAGAGAAACAGAGAAGAACCGATGGAAGAAAAGAGATTCGAAAGTTTGCTAGACGGCGAAGGAGTGCGCGAAGGCGCGACCTGCACGAACTTGTTTTCGCGCGGCGTTGCCCACTTCGCGATAAAAACCGACGGCTGCGCTGCTATTTCGAGTTTGCGCCTAGCTGTGCGCGGGTTGGGGGCTGCAATCGGTTTAGCAAGCTTGTAGTAAAAATTGGACGGCGACTCGTCAGGCTCGTTGCAGTCTAGCTCGAACGAGGAGATCGAGCTCAGATCGCACGAGTCAAAGTCGACGCGCCTGCTTCGTTCGTTGAGTAGCGCGCTGTTCGTGGACGCCGTGCGTCCGTGTGATTGCTTTGCCTGCGCATTACAACGCGCCGAAAAAGGGTTTTTCGCGTGGGCTTTTTTGTGGTGCGCGCTATCTCCGGACGGCTGGTGAGGGCTCACTTCGGCGCCAAGGTCCTTAGTAATCGACGCAATCAGCCGCAGCAAGTCGCTCTGCTTGCCGCGCGTAGGGCTTGTCAGTGGTTTATCGCGCTTGCTTTCCGCGGCCTGCGGCGGCGCTTCGGAGCGTAGCAGTCGGCGCGGGTTCAGACAGATGATTTCGCGACGAGCCTGAGAGGCGCGCTCGTAAATTGAGCGTTTCCGGTCAACTAGCGGAGCGTCTTTCATAGGCGGCCGCACTGCTGCGCGAGTTTCATGGACGCTCGAACAGCGAGAAAATCGCTCCGATCAATATTAAAGACTTTATTTAGTGCGAATTACGGGGTGATCGCAATGGCTTAATACGCAGGACGCAGCTGATGCCTCAAGCGCTGCTTTACGAGTATTACCGGATATTGTCCGAAGCAGTGTTCGAAAGGCTGCTCAAGAGTTACACGACGTTTGCTTACGAAGAAGAAGCGACGGCGTGCGACTCGGCTCCGGAGTGGCGCAAAGCATCGGCGTTCTCGCCGAACGAGTTCGAGCTCGACACGTTCGAAGCGGCGCTACAGGAGCCGCTCCCGTTTGCGCTGCTGGTACGCTTTGGCGATAAAGGTTATTTTCTCGGCGTGAAGAACGCCATGAAGTTTATCGTCGCCGATCAACGAATAGCGCGCAAGCCGGTAGACTTCTGCAAAACTTTAAAAATTGGGTTTGCAGACGTTGACGAAGTGCTGCGCAATGGGATGAAGTCAGAGTCACAGGTCGAGCGCAAGCAAAGCACTGCGCTGTCGAAAGCTATGAATACTCTATCCGCTGTCTGGGACGCGATGACGACCATTGCGAGTTTCGGCGAGCAAACGCCGGAAGAGGATGAGGAAGAGTCTGCGGCGCGACACCAGTTTTTGCTGCAGATGCAAAGCGCGTTGCTCGCAAAACTCGCCCGCAAAGTGCAGAGCAAAGCGCAGTTTGTGGTGAAGTACGGCGCTAACATTGAACTGAGCAAAACGCGACTGGTGGTGCGCGAGTTGGTTCCGCAGAACGCGGCTGCCTCGGACAAGGTCACAGTCGTGACGAGCGATGTACAACTCGTTTTCGAAGAACAGAACGGTTCAGAATTTGACTCTGTCTTCGTCAGCCCCTTTGCGGATACGATTCCAGAGTCGTACTCGGTAAACATTACTGAAGACATTATCAAACCGTTCTTTGTGCAAAACCCGCTGATGCTAGTGGCGACGTCGGATCGGTTCACGATGATGGGCATCGAGTTTAAGATCCTGGAGACCGAGCCGAAGAGCGACCCGCCGGTGGTGCCGCTGTACGAGGCACTGAATTGCGAGGAGCACCAGTACGACCGACTGGTTAGATCGAATCCGCGGAAAAGGTGCATTGGCGCCAAGACCAAGATCTTCGTGGGTTACCCGGTGTTGCCCAGCTGGATTGACGTGCTGTCGGCGAACCAAGCGCAAGTGGTGTTAAGCATGCCAGTGGTGATGCAGAGTAAAGTGCTCATGACGTACGCGGATCGACTGGACAGCGAGGCGAGACGGCGAATTTTCTCCGCGCTCGAGATCTCGAAAACGAAACCGTTGGAGCCGATGATGGCGAAGGCCGAGCGGCTGCAGCGGAAGCTGAAGTCACACCTAAAGCAGGTGTCGAGTTCGGCGGACGAAATGTGCGCGATCTGTCTCCTGGATTTCGCAGACGAGGGAGTCGTGGAGTTCGACTGCAAGCACCGGTTTCACTTGAACTGTGCGAGCAACTGGTTGGTAAGACAAACGCGGTGCCCAATTTGCAAGTGCGAATTTAACCCTTAGAAATTTATGCTGGCACTGCGCAGGACGCGCAGAGGGTAATGGAGACCGAGCACGATGTCGAAGCCGCGGCGCGGGCGGGCGTGGCGCGCCCGGCTTGCAACTCGGCGCTGCTGCAACAACTGTTTGGCACGCGGAGCGAGGAACTAGATGCGCAGCTTGAGCGGATTCTCGACAGCGGCGGACGCGAGCTCGACGAAGTGGTGGAACCAGGCGCGCCGAGGTTCCGGCTGGGCGGCGAGACGGCGCCGGCGTATGACTGCGTGCTGCGCAGC